CACACACACACACACACACACACACACACACACACACACACACACACACAGAGAGAGAGAGAGAGAGAGAGAGAGAGAGAGAGAGAGAGAGAGTCTTCTTTTAAAATAGAAAACGCAGATTGTTCTGAGCTCTTCATTTAAATGCTCCATAGACAGAGAGAGAGAGTCTTCTTTTCAAATAGAAAACGCAGATTGTTCTGAGCTGTCCATTTAAATGCTCCAGAGAGAGAGAGAGAGAGAGAGAGAGAGAGAGAGAGAGAGAGAGAGAGAGAGAGAGAGAGAGAGAGAGAGAGTCTTCTTTTCAAATAGAAAACGCAGATTGTTCTGAGCTCTTCATTTAAATGCTCCAGTCTGACTTCTCACCTTTTAAATATTTTTGCCTATCTGTGGACTGTAGTATCAAATGTTTTGTTTTTGGGGGGCTCTTTTTTGTTTTGTTTTTTTTGTATTAAACTCCCAAGTTGGTTTATTTGCAGCTGCAATTTTACACTTTCCTCACGCTGTTCTCAAAATAACCCCTTGTCTGCTGTCTTTCCTCTTTTAACTTGGTTAACCCAGTTCACAGTTCCATTTCCCTGCTTATATAAGGAAGGAGCCACTCTCGACGCTTCCTAGCTTTTGTCTTTTTCTCTTCCCTTTCATATTGCCATGTGAAAGGAAAGGAAAGAAAGGAGAGAGACATAAAGAAGCAGGGAGGAAACATGAAGCGAGGAAAGAGGGAGAGGACTAAATGAAGAGTGTCATGGGCTATATTTTGTTGAGAGTAAATTTTTCCGCCTGTGGAACCTTGCTGATCTGGTACTGCTTTTTTCAAATTTTGTGACTGATTCGGTCGATTCAGTGCAACGCACGCGTCTGTGGTCGAGGAGTGTTCTGGTACTGCTTTTTTCAAGTTCTTTTGTGACTGATTCGGTCGATTCAGCGGAACGCACGTGGCTGTGATCGAGGACCGTTCGGCATCTTCCTCGTGTAGGGCCACAATGTTTCATTGGCAGAGGGCTGAACTTGTGGTTTTGAACCACTATTGGACTCTGATGAAGCCCGAAGGTTGTGGCGGTGTACGCCCTGGCCGAGGGACGGGTTGGCCTACAGGCAGTAGGGGTGGTTCGCGGCAGTGTGGATATTTTTGTGTGTGCGAACTTTGGTAATGTCTGTACTGAGGACAGTGGTTGCTCGAATGGGACCCACTCAAACAGTTTGTGTGCAAAGTAGGACTAGTGGGTGGCCCTTCTCACTGGAGAGCAGAGGTTTACGCAGTCCCGGTTCGATCGGGGTTGTCAGAAGCAAGAGGAGAAGCAATGGTTACGAGAGAGAGAGAGAGAGAGAGAGAGAGAGAGAGAGAGAGAGAGAGAGAGAGAGAGAGAGAGAGAGAGAGAGATGCCTGTGGCTTTACATGCAGTGCAGGACAGGTTGTTGTCTTTTCTCGTTGCCTCACATACCTGACATCTCGTCAGTTCATGGGTGGCAGGTTTTTTTTCCCCTTTTTTGGGGGGGCCAGAAAGCATAAAGCGAAACTTGTGTTTTTTGGGGGGAGGAGGGGGGATCCATTAGTCACAGGGAAATCTAGTGGTGAGAGTGCAGAAGACATTGCAAGATGAATGAAGCACAGGTGTATTCAGATGGTCATCAAACTGATGATAGTTCAGTTGGAGGTGCCTGTGTGGCTTTACATGCAGTGCTTGGACCGGTGGTGGTGTTTTCGCGCTGGCTTCCGTATAGTCACTTCATTTGAGGGCAGATGCATAGCACATTTGTGCATCGCAACACAAACGAAATTTGGAGGGAAGGTTCGTCGACCGGAGTGAAGCCTAGTGGTGAGAGGTCAGAAGAATTGCAGGATGAAGTACAGGTGGATTCAGAAGACAATGCAGGACAGAGTACAGATCTCAAGTTTGCCCAGCGCTACAGGTTCTAGAGGGCATGTTGAAAGCAGATTTGTAAGAGTGTCCTTTGTGGCGGAAGTGTCGGACAGCCATGTGACATGGCTCCATTTGGAAAGCGGCGCAGAGGGAGAGGCAATGCAAGTTAATTGATTTGGGATAGGAAGGTGTGTGGTGGTGGCGCATGACCCTCTCTGCCTGTGAGTAGCTGGAAGCCAGGCAACACCAGTGGGATCGCCTCGTGATCCGGACCCAATGTGGCCAACCTCAGCCGAGGTTGCCTTCATAGTAACCAGGCTATGCATGTTGAACCACAAGGTCCTTTTTTTTTTTTTTTTTTTTTTTTTTTTGGGACAAGTTGATCCGATCTATTCGTGGGGAGCAGCACGTGCTGGAAACCGGGTCCAGCGTCCCACATGAATTATTACACCAGGTCCTCTTTTGTAGTATTCGAGGATTGCTGGGAGCGAGAGGTAGTGGAAATATGTGAATGTGATTTTTTAGGGGGAAATCAAATAAAATATTGTTTTTGCCACCCGGGGTTTTTAATTTAGTTTTTCAGATAAGAGGGATTGAACACGCCCTTCCGAGAACACCCGTTGGGCTGTTGATGGCCAAAGCCCTCGGATTGGGTACCATATGCGGAAACTTTTTTCCCGATGGGTAGTTGGTGTCTTCACGGATTACGGCACATCCCTGGGCTTCTTTTCTACCGGCGTATGAATCTGGTGCTGTTTTTGGATCAGATTCTTGATCTGGTTGCGCCATTATTGTCGCTCGACTTTCCTGTGCCTCTTTCGACTGGATGGAGGACACCTCCATCCGCCTCTTGCGAACAGGCTACGAATCTGAAGGAAAAGTTTGGGTTTGGAAGGCTTTGCGCGTGAACAGCTGAATAGGTTTTCGGGTGGGGCGTGTTTTCACCGTGTTCCACCTGGCATCCCTTAGGTTTCCGTAGTGTCAAAATCAGCGCTTTCTCTCTTAAGGTTTTCTCGCCGACAAGTTTGAGCATGAAAAAAATCGAACCCAATTGCTTCAGTGAGCCGCACAGTCGGTTGAGAACTGTGAAACATTTGCACAGACCTTCCTTCCAAATATGCTGTCGTGTATGCTCCTGTAGGCTCTCTGTAGAGTCCCTCGGCTGCGTTGACGATTCCAGCACCATGCTCATGTGAACATTTCGCTGCACATTCAGCGGACGAGCACTTCAAAACGAAGTGGAAGGGTCTTTTCAATTGCTGTTCTGGTTGCGTCAGCATGGATAGACACGCCATGAACGTCGAGAAATAACACCATCATAATGAAAACCTACCTTATTCACCTGCATACGATGTACGATCATTATAGCTGTATTTGGGGGAACTTTGAGTCTAGGTACAGCAATGATGATCATATGCTGTATTGGGGTGATGAAGGCAGTATGGTACTGCTCGTCTGCTCAAATGATGTTGTTGTGCGGTCCCTATGTATTGGGGTGAAGAAGGCAGTATGGTTTACTGTTCGTCTGCTCAAATGATGTTGTTGTGCGGTCCCTGTGTATTGGGGTGAAGAAGGCAGTATGGTATACTGCTCGTCTGCTCAAATGATGTTGTTTTGCGGTCCCTATGCGATCCTCGCACTGTGCTTGTTGCCGTTCCGTGCAGTCAAACGGGCTTTCAATTGCGTCTCCCTTCTCAGCACTTGAGCAAGCTGCGCACGTCAGCATGCTGGCTTGTCAGGGATATACGTGCCCTCCTGCAACTGGACAAATTGAAATGTGTTTCAAGGGTTTGAGAGGATGAAGGAAGGGTCCCAAGTACTTCCTAGCCTCCTTTTCCTGATGCAGTTTTCCGACGGGCATGGAGTTTCTTTGGAATTAGCACAGGCGTGAAATCTATTCATTTTTCCTGGCGCCGGTCCCGAGCACCGGAAGTCTTCGCGCATGCAAAGATCAT